GCAGTTTCCGTCGGCACAACTGCGGGACTGCGGCTCATTGAGTAAGACCGGCTCAGTGTGTAACACCGAACTTCGGTACATACGACTGAACCTTTTTGTCAGTGCACATGTGATCAACTCGTAGCTGTGACCAACAGTCATGCTCAAAAGTGATCGGCGCGACCAAAACAGTTGAGATAGGTTATTAAGAATTTGAAAGAACCGGTAAGTTCGGAGGGGGGTGGAGTCGGAGGGGAGGAGTTTCGAGGGAGGAAGAAAGTGTCAGGAGGCCACCTCTCAAGCATCCGTGCGATTGTGGACCGTTTTCCCGAGTAATGAGCCGTAGTGCCACACTCAAGCCGAGGAAACGCACAGCGGGTAATTGCCGCCCCCCCCCGCTCCGCCTGATGGCCCGCCGAAGGGGGAAAAGGCGGAAAAATAACATGAATTTTCCGCGCACCCGGCTGCCGCCACGCCTGTCGCGAATTAACGCGCAAATTGGTGCAATGCTGTGCTGCCAGATCACGTGCGAAAATATGAATTTTGGCTATGGATTCCACCGGACTTACTTTGTAAAAGTAGTTAGCTTAATAAGAAATGAAGAAAAAAACACCAAGAAGTGGCCCGAAACCTGTATGTAACAAGGTGGAGAAATGGTGCTGGGTCCACACCATTTCGTGGGGAAAACAAAGCCAAGAAGTTCCAAAAATTAAAATTAGAGTCAAAAATAATTTTTTGAACTCTAATGCGCACCAGTACGAAACTAAGGAGGGAGAGTGTTCAGCAGAGTGTTCTCCACCTTATTAAGGAACTAGTTCGTTTATGTATGGAGAGCTCTTACTCCTAAGACTATAGTGTTTTCCGATTATCAGGTCACAAAATTGAAATTCTACCGATCATTATGATGAGGTGTGAACTACTAAAAAAATAAAAATTAAAAAATAAAAATTAAAAAAAAAAAAAAAAAAAAAAAAAAAAAAAAAAAAACAATGAGAAATCACTGGAAAAAAGTAGCTTGGATCTAGAGTGCAGACTCTTAATAACATTGACAAGAAAAAATACTCTTGATCCAATCCGATTTTTCCTTAAATCGAAGAGCCGAGCCTCTCGATTTACGTGGATTTCCTTTTAATTCAAGCAAAAAGTCCGATTGAATCAAGAGTATTTTTCCTTGCCAATGTTACTAAGAGTTTGCACTCTAGAGCCAAGGTTGAATATACTAATCCATACTTAGCGTTCGTAAAAACGTCGAGTTCCAAATTTTATTCTGAAAATTTAAATTTTTGGCTATAATTTTTTTAAAAATGGAAATCACTGATGAGAATCTTCAAAATAATGGCTCAGAGGAAAGATTTTATGTTTGAAAAACCAAGAAAAACGCGTTGTTACGAATGAGTAACATCATGTCATGGACGGCTAAAAAATTGTCTCTGGCATGGTTTCTCTGCCAGATCAAAACTACTCAAAATTTAATAAACCGAAAATGAAGTTACGAGCTATATAGACGTACCGTCCCTTCCGGGCTCAGAGGCCGAATATTCCAGGTGCTGGAGCCGTACCTATTCTCGATTCCTCCGGATGCTATGCCCGGAACTTACGGCCTCTGAGCCCGGAACGCGGGCGGTATGTCTATTTAACCCGTAATTTAAACTTTCACGGTCGGAGTTTTTTTTCTCAGTGTACTTTTTTAAATGATCTTGCAACCACGTGGGCTGAGGGAAGCATTCAGAATCTGCCGACGGGAAAAGGGACGAGGGGGAAGATCAAGAAAGGAAGGAGAGGAAGTGTAGCTGTTATTATGTATCGCCAATTACGGCGAAGAAAACGTGGAGAGGGCCAAAAGTAGGTGAGACGGCGGCGCGGCGTTTACGGTAGTGAGGGGGGGATGGGGCTAATTATCGGTGGCTGAATTGAATCGCCTAGTCGGAATTCAATCCTTGAATCCCCCCAATCTCGCAAAAATGGTGGGGACAAATAAATATTGAAGTTATGAAAGTGAGTGCTTTTGTGGTGTATGCCCTGTATACTGGTAAAAATGTGGTATGCTTTATTATGAGTGCGTGGGGCCGTCCCTATAGATTACGTAATGCTCTAGGGAGGGAGGGGAGAGGAAGAGAGCGTTTCTCCTCGCGAAAACCTAAGCTAACTAAGATAACCTTAAAATAACTTAATTAAAACATGGGCATACAAGACAAAAACCCTAAAAGGCAGGAGTCAGGACGTTCCGAGCTATTACCCAGCTCATTTTCAGCAAAAAAACACAAAAAACCCTTATCCTTGAAAATAACCAACACTGAAAAAAAAATTCTCGGTGTTTTTACCAAGGTCCGCTGGTACCTTTACCACCTCACTTTTTTTACCAATTATTGGTAATTTTACCAAGACAGACTGGTAAGCTTACCTAAAAACCGGTATTTTTACCGTTTTTTTTTTTCAGGTAAGAATATCTTTTTTATTGGTAATCAATTCCCGGTAACTTTGCCATTTTATCTCGGTAATTCTACCACAGTCGATAAAAAATATTGGCGTTTTTACCAAGGTCCAGTAAAATTACTGAGAAAGTTCAATAATTTTACCGAGATTCTCGGTAAAATTGCCAATTCCATAAATGGTAATTTTCCCAAGAAAAAACTGGGATCAAATAGAACCCTGAATTCTTGGTAATTTTACCCTTTTCTTAGTAAATGCAGCGATATTTTTTTTTCAATGAACTTTGTGCTTAAATTAGCTTTTCACTATTGTGAAACATGTCGGACATATTTTTAACAATTTAATTGTGAAATCAGCAATCCACATTGATTTCCGTGTATTATTAATCATGAAATGTAGCTCAGGGTAATCGGGGAGAGAGATCTCGATGAGACAGACTTATGAGACCTAAAAAATATATTAAACCACCTGTCAGCAGACACATCGAAGAAAACTCTTCCGAAACGAGCGAAGTGTCAGAAATATTATGTATCAAAGTCATAGCACGGGGCAATTGGGCGGGAGGGGGTTGGGGGGGGGGGGGGGGGGGGGGGTGGAAAGTAGGTGAGATAGACTGATGGGATCAATTGACGGTTGAGCCGAATCTAATCATGGTCTCCCTCTCCGTTGATCGTTGGAAAAGCGCGATGAATGGTGGATTGGTGGCGTTCAGCGAGCGGGATCCTTCGCCGCATAGTGGATCTAGTCAATAGGGAAGGTCGGACAAAATTTGAAAACTTTAAAAGCTCATAACTCCGTCTAAACAAAATGTTGAGGTTCTAAAAGTGGTTCCATTGGTTTTCTCGTGGAATTTTCTTTAAGGATCACCCCTTCAAGTTTTAAATGTGACGAAATAAACATCAAAATTTGCAGTTTTAGTCAAAAATTTCATGTCCGACCTCTCCGATTGACTCGATCCACTTTGCGCCTGGGAGCTCCAGTGATCGCTGATTATCGGACCGCGCAGGCGTAGAAGTGCAATTCGTTGATGCCACTGTAGGCGAATTTTCGCGATGGGATATGACAAATAAGACCAACCGGTATGAATCGAAACCGGATGTTTTTCCGAGAGAAGTTTTGATGGATTCAATAGAGAATTTGCAGGTGTCTTAAATTTTGTTTTTCTTTAAAACTGCCGCGATGATTTTTCTCCGTGCGAAGAAAATTTTGCAAAAACTTCAAGGAATGATGTCAATTTGTTCTCCTTAAAAAAAAAAATAAAGTAGAGGCGGGGATTTTCAGACACCGCAAACGAGATATGTGATTGTGGACTTAGGCCGTCGATCTATACAATACTGTGAGTGCAGAGAGCTTTTTAGCGCCTTCAATATTTCAGATGCAATATGGCCATCCGCCGAGCACGAATAGTTGTATCAAGGCGTTCTCATCAACATAGTCTTTTATCTATCGGTCATATAATAATTCAAGCAACTGACCGCATCGGGTGACGCGTGTAGCATAATATTGATTTTTGACCATGCCTTGTGATAGTTCTGAACAATTTTAGGCCTTTTGGCAACAACGGTGCAGAATCAGAGCGCGGATCAGTCGGGCGCTGTGCGATGGATTTAGCGATCGGAGCAGCGTGAGAAGTTTTTTGTGTCGCCAATTCCCACTCTCCCCACGTTTCTACCCCCCGTTTACCCCCCACTTCCCCCCACTTTATCAGTTGGTTATGAGCTGCCGATCAGTGCATTTCTGGAACATTCAAATCGTGGCTGTATTGAAAGCACCAGGCACCGAAACGAACTGAACCAGTGTCACGGTCGGAAAAAATGAAGAATTTCAATGGATAAAATTAAATCACAGAATTTTAATTCTTCATCGAAAAAAAAGTGAAGCATGAAAGGAGCTAATGTTGATGAGTCAGCAATGGTTTTTTTCCTAGGAATGAAACAGAGAGGCCCGTAATGAACTACATTTTCAAAATTTGAGCTTAATATTATTCATTTCTGTTTCATCGAGGAAGCACTATTTTGGAGAAAAATGAGGTCCCTTTCAACAGAATGTATCTTATTTGCACTTTTTTTTCCCAGTGGAACAGATTCTCTTACGTGTTGTTTCCGGTATTTTGTTTAAATTTTTCGGAGCATTTTAGGATGTTATCACGGTAAATTGGGAATCTCATAGAATAAATGATCTAAGTACACTTTTGAGTTTGAAACCTGCGAAGTTTTTTCTGCTAAAGGAAGAGTTTCAAATTATCAGTCGGTTTTGAGCTGTGATTTCTTCTCAAAATTGCTGAGTAATTAATTTTAACGAAGTCTGTGGCAAAACGACAGGGAGAAGAAAAGAAACTTAATAGTGCGTCAATTGCAAGGATAGAGAGGATTAATTTTATTTTTCAGATCATCCATGTTCAGTATTGACTTATGGATATTTTTTATGGAAATGCTGGTTGATGCAAAACCACCATTTTCGGGCATCCTGAATGTTGTGGTAGGTATTTTTATCCCGAATTTGGCGGTAGGTATTTTCAGCCTCAGCTACTCTTCAAACTGTGAAGTGAGGAAGTGAGGTGTTAGATTAACCCTATGATTCTCGTGTTTCAGGTGTGACGCAGAAGAAGCGAAAGAGGTGGTGATCCAGACAGCTCTTGGCCAGAACGTCCCTAAGTAGACATTTGAAACGCGCCTTTTGAAGGCCTTACTGCAACAAAATGCATGAGCATGATGAGGAGACATCTACTTTTGAAATTTCTTAAAAACGCGTATTCAGGTGAAAAAAGATCACACAGGTTCTTTTTTTCGAAATTGTGGATGTAGATGGTTTCCTTTTGTGTAAAAGCAAACGTGCCTTTCAGACACTTTGTCGGCACTAAGCTGAAGGCAGAGTCAAAAATTCTCGCCTTGAACCAGCGCAGAACCCGGTTGAGCTTGAGTTAAGAGCTCGAAATTTATGCAAAATGCATCAGTTCTTAGATTTTGCCGATACTCAAGTTAGAAGTTCTAGGAGTATAGCGAGGGAGGAATCACATTTTTTTCGATTTTACATTTCGAAAGGGTGGCTGGAAAAGCATTCTGAAGAAGCTCCCAATCAGTGATCAGTATTTTATTTTGACAAGGGTCGGCTTCTGCGTCTGGGAAAATGTTGTGCTTTTGAGCGGTTCATTTCTGAAAGACTGATCTTAAAATCACAGCACAAACCATGCTTTGGAAAAAAAACACCTTGGATCTAGAGTCCAGACTCTTAAAAACATCGACAAGAAAAAGTACTCTTGATTCAATCAGAATCTAGCTTGAAGCAAGAACCAATCCTCTTAATTTAAGCGGATTTCGTTTTGATTCAAGGAAAAATCCGATTGAATAAGGAGTATTTTTTCTTGTCAATGTTTTCAAGAGTCTGGACTCTAGATCCAATGTGTTTTTTACCAGTGTGGATCGCCGAAACAACTGCTTACAGTATTCCCAAAATTGTGTTCCAACTTCGAGGACGACTTTTCTGCCAGCAGAACATCCTACCGGATGAATTTGCAAGTGTAAAGTTTTCCTCAGTTCCTTGGATCCAGAAATTCGGCAACGTTGTTTTTCCTCATTTGAACGTATGGAAATGTATCGATTCTCGGAGGGGCCAGGTGCTCCGACAAGAATCGATTATTCAACACAGGTTTTAATGGAAAAAGACAGTGTTGCCAAATTGCTGAATCCGCCTGTGGTGATGTTAATAACAGATTTGAGCCGCTTTTCGTATGGAGCCATTCTACTAAAACTCTACAACTTTGAGTATTACGTAAATCTATGGACCTGTGTTTTGCTGAGACATAAGCGTCTAAAAAGTCTGTGAACATTCTTTTAATTTTGTTCAGAGATTGGGAATGTTCAAAACTGCTGTGTAAATTTTATGACGCAATTTGAATGCACCTACACCCAAAGTGGGCCAAATATGCCAAAGATTATTTGTAATTTTGATAGCTACGTGCGCGAACGAAGCGCGTGACTGTCTCGTAGGAGCTAATTATTGAACGAATCAAGCTGTGTAAGGTGATAATTAATTTTGATTGGATTTCCATTGCGTGCATGTAAATTAATCGAAAAAGGCTTTTGTACTTTTGTGTCGCATTTTAAAGCAATGGAACTCCCGGATCAAATTGTATTCCAGTGTGAAATTTGTATTTTTTGGCAGAGAGACGTGTAATTAACACAGAGTACTTGAAATACAGCTTTTTACAATTTTTAATGCATTTTTGAAGGCAAAATTTAAAAACCTTGGTCGTATTACATGGAAAAGTTAACGCGGCTCTTTTAAAAGGGAAGAGGCAATCGTGGTGTCAAAGGCTATTTTATCGGCAACATCGTCGCACATTTGGACGTATTTTTGCTAAATGGAACTATGTTCCACGCAAAACCCCCTTAATCCGGCCCTGAATCCCTGATTGACACATTGTAAGACTAACAGACCTATGGTAGACAGATAGATTGATAGACTGACAGACGGCCAGATACACGATACTGCCTACGTTTTATACTGCGTTACGACCCTCTAGACAGACAAGATATGAATTAAAGCACAACGCTATTTGTTTTCATCTCAAAATTCTACAATTGACCAATCCAATTGACTCGATCCACTGTGCGCCGTTCTGAAGAACCTCGACTCAAACGATACTTTCACGGAGCCACACGACAAAAAACCACCTGGACCTTCTCCTCAAGGGCTCCCGTCTCCACATACGCTTTTATGGAGGGCGCATATTTGCTTGCACAGCGGAAAAGTCCGCCAGAAGGGAAATCCGAAGAGGGGTTTTTCAACTTCCAAAAGAGCAAAGGCTCGGAGGTGAGAGGTGGCGGGAGGGGGGGGGGTAAGATAAGCATTGGATGTGTAGAGGCGCCCGGCTCGCTTTTAAGACGTTACTTCGTCGTCCTTCCGACGAAAAGATGTAACCGTGCGTCGAGATGAACTTTGGTGTCCGTTTAAGTTAATGTTTTCCGTGGGTCATGTTTTATCAAGTTTGGTCATTTCGTCGGAGTAGCAACGACTTGTTATTCCTACCCGGCTCCCCGCTGTCTTGGATGGGTTCCGATGATAAAGCGGCAAGTGATATATGCGCGAAAGTTGGGAGCAATGCGGCACGCTTCGCGAAGGGTTGAGAGGGGGAGGAGGAGGGGGAGAGGGAGGGGCAGGAGTCTGAGGCTAGACAAACATTCGTATCCTAAGTGCATATTTTGGGCTCGAGTTTGTTGGATGGCTCAAAGAATTCGTCGATTTTACGTAGAATATTGTAGTTTTGTCTAAAGAAATATAAAGAAAAAAAAGAGGAAAAAACGAGGGGGAGGGGGGGGGGTAGGAGTCGTAGGTTAGTTGAACATTCGTATCCTAAGTGCATATTTTGGGGTCGAGTTTGTCGGGTGGCTCAAAGAATTCGTCGATTCTGCGAGGAAAATTGTAATTTTTTCTTTCCTAAAAAAAAAAAAAAAAAAAAAAAAAAAAAAAAAATGAAATAAAAAAGGACAAAAAAAGGAAAATATTTTCAAAACCCAAGAGGCTAGAGTCACCGTCAGGGAATATCGGGAAAACCGGGAAATGTCAGGGAATTTTTAAAAGTCAGGGAAAATCTGGAAATGTCAGGGAAAAATCCTTTAGTCACCTTTTTTTTTTGGTTTCTAAGAGAGGTTTTACGTTTTGAACAACCAATTCGCCTGAAAACTATCTGTAACTATGTCGTGTTTACCATCTGGCATATTTATAATTGTCAGGGACTGTCACCAAAATGTGTCAGGGGAATCAGGGAAATTTCAGGGAATTTCATCTTCTAAATTCTGTGGCAACCCTGGAAGCGTTCCTCGATCAAGTTAGAATGAGAATAAATCGATTTTGTCAAAATTGGATGGAAAAATAGGATCGGTTTTTGTTCCAAGGAATGTACATTAAACTCTTTGGATTTTTTATTTTTTGATGCTGAATGAAATTTATGGTGTGGAATCATTCCCGTAACCCTGGGGGAAAATATTTTTTAAGAGGGAAAAACAAATTTGAGAAAAAACCAATTTTCTTTAGGGATAAAAAATTTCCTGAAATTTAATGTTTCTCCAGACAAATTTTTTTCCGCGAAGAAAGTTTTTTTTGCAGGTAGTTGTTTTTCCATAATTTTTTTTCTCCTCAACATTTTTTTTCCTCCTAGAAAATATTTTCACCCAGGGTTACGGAAATGATGCCATATCAAGCCTCATGGATTTTGACACTCACGATTGCCTCGACTCTTCAAACTAATTTGAAATACATCAGGATGGTCATATTTGATTTTGTATTTTGTTAGAAAATAATTGTTGAAATTTTTTTATTTTTATATTTTTAACTGTACAGTATTTATTTATTTTGTATTATAATATACATTAAATTTAGTAATAGTTCCATCCGTCTTCTGTTATTTCCCCGTCATGTTCCTTCCGTAATCATCTAACGTCTGTATCCTTTTATGCCTAAAAATAACCGGAAAATAATAATTACTGAATTTCTTCTATCTCTCTAATATCTCCCTTAACCGTTTCTCTATTACCGTCCGTCTGTTAATAGATGGCTTTTAAGACCGAGAGAATTGGAAGGATGAAAGCCATCTAAACACCCAAATAAATTGAACTCTGTCTACGAATGAAAATTGATTTAATTAAAGTAATGTTCAACAATTAATTTAATAAAATCAATTTTCAAGTTTATAGGCAACCGTTTACAACTTTCAAGAAAAATACCGAAATGAAGGAAATAGAGTAAGAAGTGCATGGAGTGTAGTAGAGACTGTACTTTTCTCGAAATGGCAGTTTGTCGGCGCTGATATGCTATGTTTAGAGAGCACCTATTAATTTCAAAAATTTGCAAATTATGGTTCTAAATTTTGTTTCGATGTTTTCGGAAGTAGAGAGCATTTAGAATCAAAAACTGATGTCAGATTCTTGCGCTAGGCTCTGAACATATAATCTAAATTTCCATCTTGAAGCCCTGATGCCTGACTTCATCACATAATTACCATCAAGAGCATTGGCTGATCCAGCAAATTGGCAACATTGTTTTTCTCTATCTAAACCTATGGAAATGTATCGATATAAATTCCTTCAAAAATAATTATTGCATCTAGAGGGACTTTGGCAACGTCTGGGTGCCCTTACGGTGGTCCTCCTTCTCATGGCAACACAGGACAAAAAGACAGCGACCGGTGACCAAGTGCACTCACCTTGCTCAATCGCTTGACATTCGGGAACTTTCTCTGAGGAAGATGAACCCCCCCTCTCCCCGTCCCCCAAACGCTGACGGTCTCAGAGCGACCCCCATAAGGCATCAGTGAGACTCCAGTGGCGTGGCGTGAATTGCGATATATCGATTGTTATGCCATTTAAACCTATGGAAAAGGATCGATAAACAGGGTGTTCGCAGCGAACACCTTAATAATCGATTCTTTACCATAGGTTTAAATGGCATAACAATCGATATATCGCAATTCACGCCACGCCACTGTGAGACTCCCGAAAAGGTTCCGCAGTATTGCCAGACGATGGGATCTTTAAGGATTTATCGATACGGCCGATGCACAGACACTATATCGATATAGCCAAGGTGCAAAACCACATTGTTGTGTTTCAGAATGGAGATGTTGCAGGTGTGAGGAATTTGCGATTTGACTGTTGATTTTTATGTAAAAGTTGGCGAGAAACACGATGGTGCCACTGGTTTTCACTGCACCGAAAAAAAAGGGATGCTGATTTAACAGTCTGGATGTAAAAAAGTGTGCGAGAGCTTTCAAAACGCTGAATTACCCGCTGCAACAGTTAATTTATCAATATCAAGATGTAAAAGTAACTGCTGCTGTGGTTACTTCAGCATTTTGTGAGTTCTCGCACACTTTTTTACATTCAGAAAGTTAAATTAGCATCACTTTTTTTTCGGTGTGAAATCAACTCCCAAGCACAAAAAAAGCTCT